ACGCAAATGTGTGTGCATAGTGCATCGTGTGGGTTCGAATTCAGCTTAGACAGACGCAATGAAGCGAGAGCGTTTTCCTGAAACACGGATCAGGAACAACTGTCCCTCTCAAGAGCAAAAGATCCAACACATGTTGTATTTACGTTAACGAAACAATGTGAGTATTTCTGGGACGAGCATCATGTCTGACTGAGCAGAGCGGAAGATAGGTCGCGTTTGTAGTTTTTCTAGTTCTATGACACACATACACAAATGCTCCCTCATTCCATAATGCGTCATCATTAGTGGTGTATAGTTTTGTTTTGCGCCCTCAAGCAATGCGCTGTACATATAGTTACGAGGCAACTGAAGCCTTGACGCTTGGAGTCCAAAACCATGTTAGACACCAATCAGGTTGGCTTGGTATTGAATCCGTAGATCACGAATCTGCCTGGCATCAAAGTTGGGTGATGGTGTCTGAGTTTGAACTTTGGACTTCGCAGTCCGAAACACACTGGTGGTGGTAGCGGTGGCTTAAACGAACCAAGCACCAACATCAAACGAAAATCATTCGAAACGTGAATGTGTGTGTGCATCGATCAGGTTATCAACACAATTGGTTTGTCGGCTGTTCGCATCCGTGTCACAAATGCCTTCCGTTTCTCACTCCCAATACTTGACCCACCAAGGGAGTCTTGATTCTTTCACGTTCCTTATTGATTTGCATACAGAACTGTGCAAAGCTCGTCTACTTCGCTTTGTACCCCGTTTTTTTAGTTATTACACACCAGTGTGTGACGAACAGCAGATGGGGCGCACTCCATAGTCACGCTGGTGGTCGTAACCGGCAATCTAAGTCCTGGGACTTCGAATGGTGAACCACATAGGGCCCTGCTAGGTTAGGTTAGGCCTGGTATTGAATCGGACGACAGCAAGGATGCCTACCATCTGAATTGGGTGGCGATTGCGGGGCTCGAATCTTGAACCACAGGATCCAAATCATCCCGGTGACAACGACTAAATCACTGATATAAATGAAAAATTAGATTTGCTGTGTTAATGAATTGATAGACGAAAAGGAGCAACTGTCGAATCGGTCCTACTCGCTGCCTTCCCGTGGAGGAGGTGTTTTCCCATCAACAGCCCAATATCCGGGGCTATAACCGGGTCGGTGAACCGCAGGAAGTTCACCTAGGGGAGTTGGCTAAATACTGTAATCCCAAACCAACCAAGAAGACGTTTACGAATCACACGTTCCTGGTTGTGATAGTGTTTACCGTTTTGATTGGGCACCCTGGAAATTGGAATCTGTTCAAACGGTGTATTGTTTGATGCATTGGATACCGGCCCTCAAGGGATTGCGAGTTTCACACACCGCTCCGCTGCCCTGCAGGTAGGGCTTTGCCTAGCCGAGGGCTCCGGTTGTGAATTCCCCTAAAAGCATCACCTGCTTTGTTTACCCTGGGGCAATCTAGCACTACCACGCCATCATCTTTTCCTATCAAGCACCAACTTCCGACACAGCTTTCGACGGACGGCAACGTGGTGCTCCAGTTCAACTGGTACGCTAACTCAAATCCATCACATAGCAGTAAGTTACCGTTGGCGTGGCTCAGTGCAAAATTACAGGTCCTATTGGACCACCTGCGTTGAGTCTCATCACGCATTAGTTTTGATGCAGTTCACCCTCCGACTGACTCATCATCATCATCGTACAGCTAAATACAGTGAGCAGAACTTCACTGATTGCTGCCAAACTCGCAATTCATACAAGGTTAGTGGTAAAACTTAAGGTGGACAGGGGTTGGACCTATTTTGAGGGAGGGGGAAGAAGATGAGCCACTATGGTCAACACGCAGAGAACGCAATCAAAATCTGCATACACACCGGTTCAAGCATTCTGACCTGATAAGAAACGACAACAAGAACGTCACTGCCATATCCTTCAATCTTTCCAACCAACCGGTTGCGGAGTCTTTCGGACCCCAACCTGGAAGGCGAGAGACACCTACTCTACCTAATGGTTCTGTGCATTTCTTCATGCCTCGTCTCCACGTCATCTGTTGACCTCCGCGTGGTTTCCTCCAGCCCGGATTAGCTACAGCAAATAAAGCGCGGTGCGGCAGACGACAGCTGGACATACTCAATACGTGTCCTAGCCACCGAAGCCTAGTAATCTTAATTCGGTGTGCTAGCAGGTTTATGCCTGACAGACTCCCAAACACATGACGACTTACCTCCACGTTACTAACCCGTTCGCTCCATCCAACATGGGCTAAACTGCGTAAACACCGATAATTGAAAACTTCTAGTCGACGGATATCTTCTACTCGCAGATTCAGGATCTCACAACCATAAAGCAGGACTGAAGGAAGAATATACACGGCCTTTCATCTTCAGTGAAACGTCGAGTCTACACCAAAGTTGTTTCAGTCCTGCGTATGCTGCTCGAGCGTTGGAAATGCGGGCGGTTACCTCCTTTGTTGCACTACCGTCATTGGTCACCTAACTACCCAGGTAGGAAAAGTAATCGCAATCGAGTAGACGAAACCCAGTCCTGCAGCATCATTTTGCACTTTGAAGGTGTGAAGCACATTCCTATTCTGACAACACCACTCTTTAGTCTTTCAAGTGCGCTTTATGCGTCCCCCATATATTCGAGCAGACAGATGATGTCATCGGCGTACTCTAAATCGTACAGCTTTTCTCCAGCTGCCCATTCAATACCTACGTTTTGGAGTCCCCTAAATGCTTTCTCCAGTATTTCGTCTACGACGAAATTCAACAGGAACGGCGAAAGAGGGCATCCTTGACGGACGCCGCTGCTGGTGNGCTGGTGACGAACGACCTACTTAGATTGTTGTAAACCTTTATGCGACCGGAGGTATGTGAGTACAGTAGGTTAATGTACTTCTGGGGCATTCCTTTTCGACGAACGGAGCCCATCAGAGCTTCGCGGCCAACTGAGTCGAACGATTGTTTCAAGTCAAGGAACACTGCGATCGCTGGCCGACGGTGGGTGTGTCGCAGCTCAAGGATCTGACGCAACGTAAACATTTGATCAAGCCGGGATCCGGCTTACCGTTCACGGATGTTTGTCTTTTTTAAAGGCGTCAGACGTCGAGGTATGTTGGAGACTAACAACTTGGTGACGATCGCGACCAAACTTATCCCGCGGTGGTTTTTGCAATCGTTGCGGGATCCTTCCCTAAAAACGCGAACTATCAGTGACTCGCCCCAAGATGAACGAAGTGTTTTTGCGTCTACATGTTGCGCAGTAGGGTAGTATTAGAAGTTACGAGGTTATCACCTCACTTCTTGAAAAGAGTGGGAAGGAGCTCATCCGGTCCTGGTGCCTTTCCTCCCTTCGTAGCTTGAATGCAACACCGAACTTCTGCTTCCGTTGGAGGATCGCATGATATTGCCCACGTAGCTTCAGTTGGAGATGAAGAAGCCTGGTTAGCACTAGGCCAGCTGGATTGTTCGCTGAAGTATTCTGCCCAGCGATTGAGTCGTTGATCTCTATTGTGAATAGCTCGTTCCCTCTTTCACTAACTGGAGTTCGCCGACCTCCCGGATTGCGTATCGATCGGAACAGTCTCACTATTCTCTGATGCAGCTGCGACTTCCATTTCATTAGCTATTGTTGCCCACTAGTTTTCACAGTCCTTCTTGCGGCTCTTCGTGAGCTTGCGTTGTAGCTGCCGCCTAACTCTATTTTGATCCTGGCGGGTTGGAACTTGCCGTTTTTGCTCTATCAGGGCTACTGACTCCTGAGATATCCAATGCTTCCGGCGGGCTTGAGGCTCAGATCCACAAGCAGTATTCTCTGCGGAATGCATTGCTCGCCTAATCTGATCCCACTGCTCGTCTACATCACCACGCAGAANACGAGTTTGCTGAATTCATCGCCGGTCAGCCAGTCGAATAGTGAACTGCATCAAAACTAATGCGTGGTCAGACTTAACGCAGGTGGTCCAACAGGACCTACAATTTTGCACTTAGTCTCGCCAACGGTAACCTACTTCCATGTGGCCGATTCGCGTTAGCGTACCAGTTGAACTGGAGCACCACGTTGAGGTCCGTCGAGAGCTGTGTCGGAAGTTGGTGCTTGATACGAACAGATGATGATCTGCGCAGAACTGAAAAATTCGATCGCTGTTATCAGTTCGTTGGCTGGACAGAGCACAACTACCGCCTAGGCAAGCTTCTGATGCACTCAGTTTTGCAACCTGCGCGTTGAAGTCNGAAGTCACCTGCAAGTACAACTATGTCGGTGCTTGGACTTATCCGAATGAGGTCCGTGAGATCATCGTAGAAGGCGTCCTTTTGTTTATCAGAACTGCAATCGGTCGGTGCATATGCTGATACGATGAACAAACACCGTTTGGTGTTGACTGTTGACGGGGATCCAAGCGATAAGAGAAGATTCAGTCCTGCTACTGAGTAGAATACCTACCCCGCACTGACCTACTGAACGAGCTTCATCGTCGCCTGATTTGCGAAGAACGTATCTTGTCAACCCATCTTGTGCGCTCAAGTGACTTAGAGTAGTAGGATCTTGGATACGAGTTTCCGACGCAGCAAATATCGATCCGTAAGGATTCCATTGTACGCGCCAGACAAGCTTGTTGACCTAGCTGCATCAGTGTTCTCACGTTGAAGGTCCCCAGATTCAGTGATTGACGAGGCTTTAGAATCTGCAATTCATTTTATGATAAATTGCTTACAGTGCTATTTGGCAATGACCTTTGGCGAGCGACATCCAAGTTGCTTGATGGATTATAATAGGTCGGAAGAGGGATAAAGGGAGAGGGTTGGTTACGGAAGAAAAAGAGTCAAACAAAGGTTGGGTCTATGACTCGCCGTTTTCTACCTCTGTCCTCGTTTTACAGTGGCATCTAGTGACACGGCTTCACTTGTTTGACTCCACGTTACACGTGATCTGAGTTGCCATATTCTGAGATCGATTGATTGATTGATGTAATCGAGATTCCTTTCCTCTCATCTGTTTTATGTAGTCGAACTGGGGAATATTCGAAGCTACGAAATTGTGACTCCCGTCACGATCACCCTCAATCGACCGTTGCTTGTGTTTGGCCCACTCAAGGAACGCGTCATTGACGCACTCCTGCAGGATCCAAAATTTACTTCTTGTGTTCCACGTGAGTTCCCCCATTTGGTCTCAATCCCGTTTGATTTTGTGTGTGTGTGCGCGCATAAAAATGAATGCTTCCAGAGCATGTGCTCACAACGTGCTTTGACTATTTTCACACTGCCTCCACACTGTCCAATGTCACGTGTGTTGGATTGCATTCTTCTCTACCAATCCAACCAACTAGTCTGTTGCTTGTCAAACTATTTGTCATCTTTCAATCGATTTTACCGGAAGCACAAGTTGACTGTAAGTAAGCCATGTGAAAAACTAATCTCGAATTGAGATGCGCGAGGTAAGTAGTCATCGAAATGCCTCTTTGGAATGTGACCGAAAAACCTTGTGTTATTGCTTACCATACCGTTTTCAAGTGAATCAACCGATCGCATTCTGTTGGGAACCCCACAAAGTGATTGGTAGCTTAGCCGTCACACGTCACCGATCGGATGAGGTCTATCGAAACTCTGGCTAGTCGCAATTGATTGGTTAATTGTATTACCGAGCGTCGACGGGAACGTTATGTTCTTGACCGTTGATTAAGTGAGCTTCAAGCGAGAATGAACGAACCCGGAGTTAATTGACCTCGCCCGATCGGGTAAGGAAGCGATTCGCATCAAGATAGATCGGTAAATCGATCACCATGCTCAGGCATGAATGTTGGCATAAATCGGTTCAGTTTAGTCCCTTAATAGCCTAGCATTGAAGCAAAAATACCTTCTAATAACACCACCTCTTTTGCACCAGATGCAATCGGGTACATATTTCTGGCATTGAAAAGCACTTGATAGGGGTACAGTGAAAAACATTAGCGAACTTTCGTCGGTATAGGAAAACCAAATTTGAACTGATTCACTAGCTAACAGAAATTACTTTTTTTCACTGTAATTCCCGAGATTGAGTATTGCATTCTATCTACGATACCAGTTGCAACAGCCTGACCCTTACAGCTACTTCCTTTGTCACCCGGCTTCCTCACATACGTTCTTATCCTTGTTGCGTCATCGTCGTCACATCTTTTCACAACCTGATCACATNATCCATGATTCTGCAAATAGAGAAGTCAACTTTTGTACCGGGTGCTTCCAGGGGTATTACTTAATTTGAAGTGAGTGCAGTGTTCAGCTCAAGATTGCCCTATATTTGATCATCGACTTTCTCTTACGTGTGGATGTTTTGGTTTCCTCTAGGATTGCGTAGCGAATTCTGGTGTCCCGCGACTCACAGAGACGTGCTCCAGGAGCACTCAGCTCTGCCAGTCCAGTATACTCTGAATAGTCTCCTGGTGGTCAATGTGCGCTGATCACCCGGTCACACTTTGTTGCTCTTTTAAAAAAGCGGAATAATTGAAACACAATTTCCCCGTCAGGAGTGATATTATCCATTGGTTGGAATGACACCATCCCATTGTAAGTAGTGCTTCCACGTATAAATTAAATGAATTTTTCTCGGAAGCTGATTGTGTACAAAGTGTGAATGGTAAAACTGTCTCGATTTGCCTCCCCCCACCCTTTGTTAATCCACGGAACCAACGGATGATGTTGGAAATTCAGACCTGTCAGACAGAACGTACACCTTCTACCCCCACCATACCATCGGCTAGTTGGTCGGTTCGCCTATATGTGTGGTACCAAGGCTGGTCCCTTGGATGCAATTCATGTTGATGGATAGGGTCTCGAGCGCACGAACTTAACACATCTGACGTCACATACACATCAGGGTTTGCACTTCAAATGGGACTCGTTTCCAGTGTCCTCACGAACGATGAAACACAGATTATATTGTGGAAACCTGAGTACTGGACAAAGTTGCACTGGGAAAGATTGACACATGATTACTAATTCAGTGAGCCTCTGCCTTCCTTACTCACAGTTCTCGGCTGCGGTTTCTCAATCCGCAACCTGGCGGAGGGGGGGGGGCACACTCGTGAAACAGCTGATCTCCTCTAGACGAGGAATGTTTGGATTAGCCCATTGTGGTTTTTTCACAGGGACCAGCACTTGATGATCTTGTGTGTGGGTCTCACTCTTTGGGAAATTGCACAAGATGATGATCGTTGATCGTCTAGCTTAGGGGTAAGGATTTGAAGTCCCGACCCGAAGGTTTCGGTTTGAGTCCTGAAAGGGACACAAAAAGTACGCCCTGTTGACGAGTCCCAAACGGCTTGAAACAGTTGTTCAGTGCTGCTCTCCTCTTCTACCTGACTGATCGCACCTGAGTTGTTTTCGTTCTTGGCCGTCCGCAACCCCCAATTGGGTTTTCGGAGATAGCCGTCATCTGATTGGATTAGCTGTACACCCAATAGACTGTTGTTTCGTATTTATCAAATCTCTACGTGAAATGGTATGCGACAGTGTATAGTGCTTTATTCATTTCATCACATGTATTTATTCTGAAAAAATGATATGTCTTTTTACTTCATTTTTCTATTGATTGAATATACAAATGTACAGTCAACTTTCAAGAAGGGGGCTGCGGCCATATAAAGGCTGCCTGAGGGGGAATACAGAGATATAGGGAAGATGAGCGGCGGCAGTGGAGCGGTCTGAACCTGGTACACTCAGATCACTAGTTGTGCGATTGTTGTTTGCTTTTATTTCGATTGTGCTATTCTGTATCGTTTCTGAATGTCGCCCCCCCTTCGATTTCCGTCCCGGTCCGTAGACACAAGTCGACCTCCACGGCCTGGAGAATTGGACGGTGTGGACTACAACTTTGTGGGTTCCAAAGCGCAAATGGAGGAACAAATTCGAGCGGATCGTTTTATCGAGGTCGGCCAGTTCCAGGATCACTACTACGCGACCAGTGTGGATTCCGTGCGTCACGTGTTACAATCCGGTCGGGTCTGTGTGCTGGATGTCAGTTTGACAGCGATTAAACGATTGGAGGTGAGTGAGTGTGGAATCATCGTCGCTCCATTTCGCCCGTGATTCGCCGTGTAAATGACAATTTGTTGACAAACGTTTCATCATCAGACCGGAGGTGAAGTGTCAGTGTTCTGCTTCTACTCGTTCGTTTATATACGTGTTCTTCTCCATTGACCATTTTTTCCACTTTTTCTCACTCTGTCTGATAAGGTTCGCTGTTGAACTGGTGCGTAGGATTGATGGTGGTGCAGAGGTTGTTATTCCGTCTTGGTTGCGATGTTTTTTTCCGTTCTCCGGTCATGGTGTGACCTTTTTGTTGTTGTGTCATTCGATCCTTGAATTGCCTTGGCGAGTACAAGTGATCCAGTTCGATGTGCCTTTTTCTGGAGTTGATTAAAGAGTTTTAAGCCTCGGGGAATTTTCTAGATGTTCTGACTCCTCGCACCAGTTCAATGACAAACCGGGTGGAACACACGGATTACACGGGAGTAAAGATAGTCAATGGAGAAGAACACAAGCAGATGTATAAAGCAACGGATACAAGCGGAACACTGCCACTTTACAAGCACTGATAATGTCACCTCGGCTGGAGATGAAACGTTGTGCAAACAGATTGCTAATTGCTTTGGGTAAACAGGCGAAATGGAATTCAGTTCACACGAGCTATGAGAATCAATTTTTGACTACTTTGTCAATTAGCGAGATTGTTCGAATCCCATATATTGCTTAGGCCTGGTTGCACGGTTCTATCCCCAAAATGTCGAAATGAAATATTCTATTGTTTCCAAGGGCCTATTCTTTATGGATTACTGTTTCTATTGTTTCGTATTATAAGAGCTATAACACGTTTTTGGAAGAGGGCGATCACATGAATTTTCGCTAGTCAGACGGTAGATAGTCAAGTCATTTTTAAATAACTGACTCCCCGTTCCCCTCTCAATGTGTATTTGATCCCAAACTGACATTTGTTTACCACGGATTGTCAACTCATGAGCAATGGGTCTGTTTCCGCAGTTTGGAGAGCGGGGCGTCCCCACTATGCGGATCGGGGAATGGCCACCGTTTTTGTCCGTAATCGTGAATCAGGCGGGTCCTGGACTCACTGTCTAAGCGGTTGTGGTTACAGACCTCTAAGGGTGTGATGCGTGTACCATTTGAAAAGGATTTTTCGCACAAATTACACGTGGACAGCATTGTGTGGTCGTAAACGTGACCCACCACTGAATACGACCATTAATCCTACAAACTTCTTCGGTTGTGTCGAACACACACCACATCTGGAATAATTGACATTCTGGTGCGTAGTTCGCACCTGGTTCCGCAAACTCGATTGCGTTCAAAAATGTTGGATTCAGGCTAGGGAACAGAGTGAAGCAGGTCGATGTCTTCGGGGGCAATACATAGGTAATCGAACACCTTTTGAACTATTCGCTAATCTGGTGGGGTGGCCGGACGAATAATGCTGAGGTTAGGCTCAGAGTTTTGGGTATCCGCGGTCGCCCACTGGAGCAAGTGATCGACCTCCACAGATTAGGTTGGTTGGGGTATGTGTTACGCATGTCACTGGATAGGTTACCGCGGCGAGCGATACTTGGCGAAGCAGGTAGCGGTTGGAAAAAATGAAGGGCGGTCAAGCTAAGACCTGGCATGAAGGTATGAAAACCCTAACCAGGAGACTGGGTCACATAGGTCCCGTTAGGCTCGGGACCTCGGGATGATCGTAACCGATGGCTAGAAACATTGAGTGATATGGCTGGGTGTCGCTATCAGTGGCGTTCGTGCATCTTATCAATCTCTTTGCAACCTTGGACCACTGAACTACTCCATTTTCTTTCCGACTCCACTTTCAGCTCTCCTTTCTTTCTCCTATTCTTCATCCCAATGGGCAGCCAAAAGACAACAACTTAAACCGGCGCACGGAAGTGCATGGTTATTGGTTGTTCAAACTGAAACTGATGTGATCTTTGTGCTGTGGATGCTGACCGACATTCTGAATTCGACCTCGAATGTCTTGGAAACATTGCTCGTTTCTGTTGGGAGCAACTTCGTTGTTTATTGAGTATTGATTGTTTTTCTCTGAGACAGGATATCATTCTTTACCGCTCTTCACGACTTGATCATGTTTTGCATATGCCTGTCTATCATCTGCTGCGGAAGCCCTGCTCATTGTCTTCTCCTGTTGTAGAGTTGTTTTCCTATCAAAGTGAGAGGACTAACATCTTGGGCTATAACTAAGGCGGTAAACCACTGGTAGTTCACCTGGGGGAGTTGGGTAAAACCCCTGTTTCTAAATCAACTAATAGGAGGCGTATGAATCGCTCACACCTTTCTGGTCGTGACAGGGGTCACCGGCTTAATTGGGCCTCCGGTGCATGCCTCTCTCTCTCTCTCTGTGTGTGTGTGTTTGGTCTCTCTACTGGTCCACGTTATCATCACTGAACTCGTTGGATCAATTATCTTTGTTTGGAAAAGAGCAGCTGCCTTCATCACGCACACAGAGCGTATTTCTCTCTCGCCGTTGTGCTCCACCAATTTCTGACTGTGGTCCCTATTTTAACACTCGTGGATTGGCTTTGGGAGTCCCGTCGATGGTCACGTGTATCGTTCCATCGGTCTTTTCACGCTGTTTCTCACCTCACAGACACCGAGGCCGTGGGTCAATTTTTAAACGCTGGTCGATTGAAGCACGCAAGCGTTAGAGGTAGGATTGTATTGAAAAAAGATCCAGGACGGTCAAACGAAGACCGGGCATGAGGGTATGAAAACCCTAACCAGGGGATTGGCTCACATAGGTCCCGTTAGGCTCCCTGGCTGGGGACCCCGAGATCATGGTCACCGATGGTTAGAGACACCGAGCGCTATGACTGGGTATCGTAAACGATGGTGCTCGTGCATCAGTAACATCAGTATATATAAATTCGCTATCCTGCCCTTGAATTTGCTCTTACCATTCCAATCTTCATTGTGCTGTTTTATTTAACTGGGCAGCCAAAAGACAGCAACCAAAACCGGCGCACGACAGTGCATGATTAATGATTGTAAAAATTGAAACTGACCACTGCCACTAACAGGAAGTTGTGCGTGGTTCTTATGTCTCCTCTTGGTTGGTTTGGAATCCGGATTTTTGGTCAACTCCCCTAGGTGAATTGCCAGTGGTCCACCAACCTGGCCGGATGTCGTTTTTTCGTCTTCTCACTTTGGTGGGAAAATACTTCCGCCACGAGAAGGCAGTGAGTAGAGCTTCCTCAGCAGAGATATTTAAGGGTTTTGACTGCCGGTATAAGTGGTAAGTCGCTGATGAATGCTGAATATAAGTATAGAGAAAGCACATCACCAACGGACTCCAGAATTGTTCCCCCCTGGTTTTAGAACAGCACCGTTTGCTTTCTTTCTTTGAATGCTTCCAGTGAAATGGTCTTTCAACTACGACAATAAAGCAGTGGAGTAACCGAATGACATTAACTTTCGAAGAAGAAACGATCGTCTAACAGAATCAAAACCGAAAGAACAATCAAGGAAAACATATCGAACGGATTTATCATAATTATCTAGAGATTTGCAAATAAAATAGATCAGTGAAGAAACTGCATTCAAAGTAAATTTATTAGTTGGCTTATACGCTAACTAAAGGCGGTTATTGGGAACAATAATACCAGATTGTAAGCGGGTGAGATCAGGAACGCTCTATCGGTTTAAGTTCAGCGGTTGTGATGGCGATGGGGCGAAAGCACTTAAATAAACTACGAGATGAGATTGATTTAGGAATGGAAACAATGGTGGCTGGTCTCTCGGGCTTAGGGATTAGACATGTATATGTCGATTTATTAATGAAGGACGCAAACATCTCTGTGACTGAACCAGCGCCATATTTGAGTATAGACGAAGACAGACCCACGGGGCCAACTGCACTCGTGATTTTCGTAGTTTGAAAGAAGCTGATAGCCCTCCTAATGTGTCACCAGATACGGAGATAGGAGATCATTTAAAGGATAAATAAATGCAGCATTAGGGTTTTCCACGTCAATAGTTCTGTTTGTTGTCCGTTTGTTCTGTCCACGCAGCAATCTGATCCCTTGCCATAATCGTCTCCCGTCTACAGCTCCCAGAGCTTGCTTTGTGACTGAAGCATTCAGTTCGTTGATCTCCACCCCAATTTGCAGCGTACGCTGTTTTACAGTGGTTATTTGGTGCGTATTGAATGCTTGCTAACTTTGTCTTCTAAGAGTTTTTAGCAACCGAAAGCCTACTCTACTAGTATGACCAAAATTATTTCTGTATGACAGTTTCTCAGTTTCAGTTTCTACAACCATTCACCATGCACTATCGTGCGCCGGTATTGGTTGCTGTCTTTTCGCTGCCCATTCGGATGAACATTCGGAGAAAGACAGAAAAGATTCGATGGACTAATGATGCAGAGAAATCGACAAGATGCACGAACACCACTGTTTACGACACCCAGCCACATAACTCAGTGTCTCTAAAAATCGGGTACGATCATCCCGAGGTTTCCATCCGGGGAGCCTAACGGGATTTATGTGACCTAAACTCCTGGTTAGGGTTTTCACACCTTCATTCCTAGTCTTAGCCTGACCACCCTTGACTTTCTTCCACCCACTACCTGCCTCGGAGAACATCGCCTGCCGTGGTAACCTATTTGATGACATGCGTAACACATACCCCAACAAACCTAATCTGTGGAGGTCGATCACTTGCTCCAGTGGGCGACCGCGGATACCCAAAACTGCGCTTAACCTCAGCATTGTTCATCCGGCTGCCCCCACCAGATTCGTACAATGCTGCGTAGACAGCGGTGTTCGAACACCGACAGTCTATTTTTATCCTGTTCCCGTATTGGCCAAGTTTCTGCGTCGTAAGGCAGAACTGGCCGAACTGTTGCAGCATACATTCAACCCTTAACAGACAGCCGGATGTCGCGACGGC